GTTTGTATCGAAATGTATTAAACCATGAAATTATTTTCGTGTGATACTTCATAAAAATCAAAATCCAATCAATAAATTAATAGACACAAAATTAATAAAACTCATGTTTATTTTTACATATTCATTTTTTGGCAGAATATACTGATTATTATTATACTGATATTCCAAGCTCTAGGTCAATATTGATCGCGAAATGCAGCGCGTAGGAGGTTCAATGCACAAGCTTTTTTCGAAGCTTATTTCAAGTTAAGTAACAAATTAGTAAACAATTAAAAATTAATAATTTTCTGTTAATTTAAATTCTATTCGGACTAGAATATAATTTTCTTGATAGACATATGCCTAATATATAATAATCATAAACTATGTTGATTTTAGAAATACATAAGAATTTAGTATCAGAGCTTTTATAAGAGGTGTAATTAAATAAAAGCAATCACATTTGAAATTAAAATAAAATTCTATTTGAACAAACAAATATGCCAATAAATAATCTAGAGAAGAAAATAACAGAATACAAGCAGAAATCTAAGATCATTGCAGTATTATATTTTATAGTCACCATATATGATTGAACGATATTTACGACTCCAAGATCAAAAGCAATAAAGGAATTGAATATGCTCTATTTATCGAGAGCCATTGAGATTTAGAGAGATCTGCGAGTCTTTTTTTTATATAAAACTGTGAAAGCACAACGAAAATTCAGTATTGAAGAAATAAATAGATTATATATATATTCCTCCAAAATTAAAATTGAAAATGAAATTAAAAATACATATATATATATAATGAAGCGATATAGATTCCAATAAAGGCATTTAATAAAGTGATAAATGTATTTCGGAATAGGCGGAGATCCTTAAGAGAATAAGAAGTGTATTTGTATCATAACTGTCGAAACATAAGCTTAATAATGCTTGTTAAAAATCTATAAATATTATTAGTTAGAAATTATAGTTTCTGAATCAATAATAAGACTATGCGCTTATTCGAGTGTTCCAACATTTTTACAAATAGTCAAATGAAATATATATAAAATTATCGTCAGATTCTATGAATTATTGATAACATTTAACAAATATTGATATCATTATAAGTAATTAATTTAATCATCACCAAGAAGATAAGTCGATATTGATCTCAAAAATTTCAGTTGATATGTATGAATCAGTTTCAATATTTAATCAATGGCAATAATCAATAGACGGCAATATGTGACGTGTATTTTGAAATTTACACAATACGCATTTAACCAAGTTCTATAAATAAACTAATTATAGATCAACAGGTGTTAATAAGTGAATTTTAGAATTTTGTAAAGTTCATTACAACAATAAATGATAAGCAAAATATTGTTGAACAATATAATCTCTTATCTTTACTCAAAATATTGTAATAACTTGAGAAATTACTAACTAAATATATATATATATATATATATATACATATATATATATATTATATATATATATATATATTATATATATATATATATGTATATATAAATAAGTGCATCCATTTCGCTTGATAATAATAAAATATGAAAATAAATGAAAAGGCTTTTAAATCTTAAGTAGAAGATAAAAAAAGGCCTTGCTTTGACCTAGTTACAGGTAAAAATTCAAAGCTAACGCTATCAAATCTGTACAAAATCTATATAAAAATATCTGTTAAACGTTTTATTATACCGTCACAATATCATACAATTGTGTTATCAAAATGTCTAATAATAGATCATAACTTCACCATTGAACATACTGCTAAATGAGATAATTTCGCTAAACTCTCGTTTTCACACACGTGCTACAATTCATGTTTCATGAACACACACTTAAATCACTGGGCTACACACTACACTAAACTAAAACTTCTTAAAAATTAATAGAAACAATATTTTTTTAAAGTCGGATTAATAATAACTGGAATGAAGCTGCGTTGTGTGTATATCACTGTAAATATTCAAAATAGCTAAATGTCATTCTGCGCAAAACATTAGTGCAAAACCATGAAACCATGCACTCGCTGTGCCACCGTAGCGGTTGCTCGAGAGTTACTGAAGTATCGGCGGCTAGCTACGCGCGAGCCGTCAAACGTACCACTTGCTGGGGCGTACCCCAGAGAACATCATTCGGATCAGGGTTGGAAAGCTCATTACTTGACTAAATTAAATAAGATTGCGCTATTTGCTTTGTTTTTAACATATTTTCATTGAAGTTTTTATGAAGATTTCATAGCTCTGTTAATAGTTGAAATGAATTATGTCCAATTTATGGAATAATTATAGAAGAATTAGATATAAATGACATAAGTAATTAGTAGTAGTCGTAGTAAAAATAATAGTAGTAACAGTATTAATAGCAAAATTAGTAGAAGTTTTATTCGTAGTAGTATTAGCAGTAGTAGTAGCAAGAGCGATAGTAGTAGCAGTAATAGAAATTGAAGTAATAATATATAGGGGCAGTGGTAGTGCTAGTATACTACCTAGTAATAGTAGAAGTAGTAGTAGTAGCAAATGCATAGTCGTTGTAGTATTAGATAAGTAAGTAAAACCAAATATATTTTAGTTGATAAATAACGTATAGCACCCAAAAAAACGTATTATTTAAAAAACAATTGGTATTGGCGTAACGTTCAATTAATAATCGGCGTTCGAACACTCGCTTTTGATAACCTGATATCATGCAATAATGATATCAAATTTCACTTGAAAATATAGATCAAAAATATGTTTCCAACTGGTGTGAAATGGCAATGGAAAATCTCTCACACTATTCTTCCCTGACTCGAGTTAGAGTTTAACTCAGCTCACCGACCAGGGCATAGCACTAATTATTTAATATTATACAGCAATATGCAAAATAATTTATTTGCATTCGTGCATTAATTTATAATTGTACATATTGCACCAAAATATAATGGTGATAATAATCAGGACATATTAATGTAAGATGCGCAATAATGGTAACGTTTGACTTAAGATTTATAGTTAATTCATTATATAGAGTTATCTACATATATATGAAAATAAGTCGGGTTTTCCTTCCTGACGATTTAACTCCGGAACGCACAAACCGATTTCGACAATTTTGCATTCGTTGGAAAGGTCTCGCAAGGTTTATAACTAAGAACATTAGTGGTACATGGCATCAAATGCAAATTTCTGAAACTTCACGCACCGTAATTAAAAATTCGAGTAATGACATTAGTGAGAATTATCAGAATTATGCTTGGTTAAGTCAACTAGCAATTCTTGCCGCAAAGAATAATGATGTACACGCACTGAATTTCACCATTCAATCAAAAATTGCTGGCGATTTGGTGACATACCAATGATTCCGACTGGTCTTCCATTTGACTTCAAACGATTGCAATTTCCAGTTCGCCTTGCGTTCGCAATAACATAAGTCACAAGCCCAATCGCTTAGTGTTTGCGGGATAAATTTCAAATAGATTATTCAGAAAATCATTGTTTTCACATGGGCAGTTATACGTTAGTTTATGTTAACGTCAGACCAAAAAACAAAGAATGTGGTTTACAAAAGAGCACTTCAATGAAACGAATAATTTGCGGATTCACTTTCATTTACTTAGAGAAGTTCAACTAAAAAACACTTCATTTTTGTAATCAAAATAAATTCATTACTATTGTGTAATAAAATCAAATTTTTCCTTTTCAAATATAAAACAAACAGAAAATTTCTTCATCTTTCTCACGAAACCATCTGGTGGCGAAACGGAGTTCGTCGGGTTTGCTAGTGTTATATATATTTCTTCTCGACCGTAATATAAATTAGTAAACCCTGCGAAAGATAAGCGCGCATGCGATCCTGCGCGTGGTGATTTCATTTTCCGTCCCTCTGCAGCAAACATATCGGGGCGGCTGAGATACTATGTTTTGTTTGTACATTTATATGAGCAAAGTATAATTTTGCAGCTTTTCACGTAGGAAGTCATAACATTGTGTGGTGAAGGCAAATAAGATATGAATCAGTACTTTAAATCATGAAACACAGTTTTTAGAGTCGAATTCTTTAATATAAATATATTTATTTAATTTATATATATATATATATATATATATATATATATATATATATATATGAAAAAATTGTAACCAATTCGTAGAATATAAAAAAACAACATTAAAAAATATTTGCACTAACGGGTAATAAGTCTATGTTATCATTCACTGATGCTGATAAAAAAACCAACAGTATACATTAAAAAGATTACAACCAATTAAAATAACGTGGAAATTTTAATTAACAACCTGTGATAACTGGCATTTTCACGATAAAATTTGCAGTTAATATGACAACTTTCATGATTCTAGTTTATTCAAAATGTTGACTTTTACATAATTTACCAAAACAATATTTCGTGTTGCATATATAACGAATAACAAATATACATTACAATAAAAATTAAAAAAAAAAATCAACAAAGGCTCCGGCGAGATTCGAACTCGCGATCTCCTGTTTACTAGACAGGCGCTTTAACCAACTAAGCCACGGCGCCGATGTTTGATGGCTTGAATTTTTGCGTCTTCTTAATAAAGTATTATATCGTATACATAATAAATATAATTTTTTAATTTTAAATAGTTTGAACTACTATTGGAATTAAATAGGAAATAAATGAAATGAAATGAATAGAAATTGAAAAAAAAAAGACTAATAACTTATAAAAATAAAAAAGACCACTACCTCATAAAAATATTACTTTATATAATGATATAATGGTAATAATAGTAGAATGATCTGATTTAAAATAGATTTGTAAATTCAATTGGTATCATTCTTTAATTAAATGAGTTCCAATATTAGTAAATTATTAGAGTAACTGTTAAGAGGCAAATACACTTTCAATGTTGAAGTTGAATTTATCAAAGTTAGAAATAAAATTATTCTTTGACAATTTTAGCATAAACTTCTCGAGAGGCTCAAAACTGCTCATGTAATAAATAAATGACCCCTTACAAATAAATTTAAACTCACCTGATAAAACACTGTTGTCTATACGCCGAAGTTCACCATGCAACAAAACTGCAACCCAAGACAAAACAGATAACCAGCATAATAAGATTGAAGCTCCTGTCCATATCCCAACAATTCGCAGTAAACCATAATTTGCACTAGATGGAATTTTTTCCCGACTTTTAGGGCTTACACTAGTTCTCTTTCTGAAAATTTAATAAAGCATATTATTGTAATGAAAATACATTTAACAAATAAATTACATGTTTGACTTAGAATGAAGATAATATTTAGTAATAATATCAAAACTAAGCTTTAAAATTATTAGAATGATTAGGAACAACATGATTATTAATAGATGTATACAATCTTGGATCGATCAAAGAAAAACACTTATTGGATGTTGGTCTGAAATTAAGTTACGCATACATTTTTGAGTGATTTATTTTAATTGATAATCATATTAGTAATATATGTACTTTTGTATGCATACAGACCTTCTAACTTTCTTCTTGCGAGGATTTACAACTATTTCTGGGACATCCGAAAGAGAGTCGCTTTCATCCGAGAGGCGTAATAAGGTAAATGATTCCTGTTCTTGAGACATTTTAAAAATATGATATAATTAATCATAATTTATCGAAAAAATAAAAAATATATCACGAAATATAAACCGTTACTAAAGGTTAGGCCACATACTACAGCAAAATGCAAAATATGAAATAAATAAATAAATGTCATCCGTTATAATTGATCACAAGAAAACTAAAATTATTTTGACAATTTCAAGATATTATCAAGAGATTTCATTTTGTATAGTTTTCACGTTAAATATAAAAATATGATATAAAATATATTGAACATTGTTTGATCTCTTACTACGCGATCAAACGTCAACTCAGACTTTTGATTTTAAATGTTGTCTGAATGTTAGGCAGAAATACCAACCTAAATTATAAAATGGCCACCAACATTGTGAGATAAATGTCAGTTGAAACGCTTGTTTACACTACTATGCTACTGTAATATTTTCTATGATCTGTTAGTTATAGAAAATATCTGTATTTTTTTAAATAAATTATGCTATTTTTATATCGAATTAAATGTAATAATTACAGTAAATAATATATTCTTTTATATGTGAAGCAAACGTTATTGCAATGAGTGAGTCTATATAACAAAACATTGAACAATTCATACAATTGTATGTTTGATATTAAATATATTTATTTATAGATCAAAATGCAGATAAACTCGAAGATGCACAAGGTGTAGAAAATGAACAATATGATGTGACACAAATGAGAAAACTTGCAGCAAAAATGGAAAAAAAATATTTAAAATTGCTTTATGATAAAAAAAGGATAGAAATGGTACTTATGATTCTAAATAGTTTATAGTTTTACTGAAAGTTTTATTATTTGAACTAATACTTTTTGTGTAGGAAAAAATATCTTGTCAGCCAAACGTTCAACTAAATGAAAATCCTGCAGACGCCATGGTAAGAATATTTTATTTTTCGAAGATTATTATTAATATAGTATTAATTCTTACGGCAATTTTATTCTAGGAAATGAGCACGGACACTTCAAATAGCATAGACACATCAAAACTTATTGACACAGCGGCCAGTATAAAGGATAATGTAAGTTTTAATACATTAAAATATAAATTTTGAAGTGTGAATTTATTTGGGACTAGAAATTGCTTGTTTTTCACATAGAACCTTTTCCTCTTTCACTTTTCTTCTAATAATATTCATTAAAATTATTTGCAGTATAATCATATTAGGAAATATGGACAAGACCTGCAGCATATTTGCCATACAATGATCACACCAAGTTATAGAGAACGTCAATTGAGACGAAGAAAATTTTTATCTGAGTTTTTGACATGAATAGAGTTCTTTAGTTATAATTATTCAAGTGTATATAAGAAACTATTTTATTATTTTTAGAATTGTAAAAAAATAGCACTATATTATTTTATAATGGTGAATTTTATTTGTTGTGCATGTATATAAGGATTATCGCCACTTTGCATCATATTATCGTTTGATATTAAACTTTTAATTGATTGATACATCTCTTCCAACTTTTTTAATTTAGGTTGTGTGTTCTGAAAAACAAAAACAATTTGAAATACTAAATTTATAATAATAATTAAATATTTAAAATATATGTTTTACCTGAAAAAGTGGTACTACACCTTTACCACTCCTTTTGTAATCGTGTGTCAAAACAACTAATATGTACAAAATTTGTTGCTGTAAATAAGACAATGATGTATTTTATAAATATTTTATATTAGGAGCTAAGAAATAATTTTCTCAACTTAAATCAAATATTTTGTAAATATATGGTTTTATAAAAACATGTAGAGTATATTCTTAATTAACTCTTGCGTTTTTAGATAACTAAACTAATAAAAGCAATTTCTTACAAAATGCATCACTTCATTAATAACGACATCCTGTATGCAACTCCAGGGTATAAAGTTTGAACTTTCGTAGCCTCCGTAGTATGAAACAGTTGATTGAAGTCCAATGTTTCGAACAAGTAATATGCTTTCTATATATTATAACATACACAGTTGTTTAATACAATATTGAATAATGCATTGGTAAAACTATATGCCTACCAGATTTGATTCTTGTAAATCTATTATAAAAATAAGCTAAAATGATCACTGCAAGAGCACCTATGTAATAAGTAAGGTTATAAGAGGCATTCATAAATTTAATGTCTGCTATAAAATGCTCAAATAGCTGAGGGTAATTCACATAATCAAATTCAATCATTTCAGTATAATTCACACAGCTACTTAGACTTATTAAGTAATTATTTTAATCTCAAATATACAGTATTTGAATTTGTCATTTTATCTGACAGCTGACAACTGTTTTCGAGTTCAACATGGAAGAGTTATGGTTTTGGTGGATTCAGTAAAGCCATCTATTTACGTTGTGTTCTACGACAAATACAGTTCAGCTTCAAATCTCTTTTTAACGAAACATGATTTTATAATACAATTTGGATACATTTTTGTTATTGTAATACATGTAAACCTTGTATAAAACGGTTAGTTGGATTCCAAAAAATACCATGTTATACAAAACAAAAACCTTGTACCAAAAGAGGGGTTACGTTCCAAAAATTTAAATTTCATGAATATTTTACATTTACACAATATTGATAAATATTTGTATTAATTTTTCAAAGAAGTAATACTTTTACATACATTTCATTGTCATATAATATTGTCTAGGGTCATAACTACGAAGTGTTTTTTTTGTCAAGATATCCACATCCTGTAATCATTGATCTATCTATACTAACTTCAGATCCTTTTTGTAACAAATCTGTTATTTTCAATTTTTTGTTTTTAGTAAAAAAATATTTTTAAATTTCTTTATGTGATGTTAAGCTCTTGTGAAGTTTTAATTATATTTCTATGTTCAATTCATTTCAAGAATCTTCATTTAAGAAATATGAGCAGACCAGGCTCTTTTCCGATAGAACGTACTTGCTCGAATGAAATGTCAAATGAGGTATGTTTTTTACCAATTTCACCACGTTTATTGGGTTGTTGTATTGTGATTTCACCAATTTTAAATCAGATAATGTTTGTTTTTAGTACCTTTTATTATTTTTTATATTTTATTAGGATTTTGAAACTATTATAAAAGTACCGTGTTCTAAGGGGGATAGTCTCAATTCTCGAACCGTGTTATAGAAGTACCGTACCCGTCAGTGGTAAAACTAGACCCTCCGGGGCCCGTGGCAAATTCTTTAGGGACCCATCGTGATACTCAATGTTTATTTTATTTAGTTTTTTTTTAATAAACTCGATATTTTTCAACGTACTCAATAGCATCACTATACTGGCCAAAACAATTTTTAATGAATTATATTACAAATAAGCAAACCAACTTCGACTAATTCTATTTTTAACTTCCCGTAGGGTGTGTTATTGTAATAGGCCGAAAATCGGAATTGAAATTTTTTACATTTCTCGACGTTTTGAAGGTTTCTGAACATTTTGGCATACCTCAGAAAAAATGGATGTGTGTGTGTGAGTGTGTATGTATGTATGGATACAAATTTCCAGTCACGTTTTCGGGCGCGCGGATCCGAATGGTTCAAAAAACATTCGATTTCTATCGATAGGGAAAAGAGCTGATTAGTTTTTGGCAAAGGCAGGTCCAGCCGTTTCGGAGATACGGAGCAAAGAATGCAGAAAATAGAAATCGACTTTTTGAGAGAACGGAGTATCCGATTTGAATGATCTAAAAAAATTTAATTAGTAATGATTGGGAGAAGTGTTTATCAGTTTTTGGCAAAGGCATAATTGATTTTGGAAAAAAAAATTGTTTCAATTTTTTTTTTTTTAATTATTCAGATTTTATTTTTAATTCTGACTATAGTTCTAATATACTTTAAACAAATAATTTCAACTTTGCAATTCAGTTTATATAATTCTTATAAATATTAGACAATGTTACAATATTTATAATAATCTATTTGAAAACATTCAGTATTCCTCGAACATTTCGTTACGGTACGGGAAGTTCCGGCAACTTGCCTTAAGGCACGATGCCACCCACCCCACTAATTTTATGGTTTTAAATTATAAAATTATAAAGACAAAAAGCAAGTAAAATATTAATTCAGGATGACAGACCATTTTTTTCTTATACTATTTACTTCTAATTTTAAATGTTTAAATTTATGCCGATACTTTTCCATTTGTACTAGAAAAGTTTTCAAATGTCTTGAAAGATTAATGGCTTTAGATTATACGAGTGCTTTAGATGCTCCATAGATAATTTGTAAGATATTACAATGAAAAACAAACAAAAATTGTTTTTCTTCATACTTCTTTTTATGTAAAATAACTTTATTTCTTTCATCTGATTTGTAATCTAATAAAATTGTTTTTGTTGTACTTATTGGACCTCAACAAAACGAACTTCTACAGCAAAAAGAACATCATAATGTTCTGCCCATCTAGCAGGGATCAATAATTTAACATTATGATGCCATTTTTGCTTTAAAAGTTTTTTCTGTTGAGTGCCAAAAAGCTCAGAAAATTGTGTTCAAATATTAATTGTATTATTGTCTTTAGTATCACTTTGGACTTTAAGAAGAATTTAAACTATATATTAAAATATAAAATAAATGTTTCAAGGTACAATATAAAAAAAATATTTTTGAGCCCGCGGTCACTTTGGCCAGGAGCTCCCTTGGGCCGAGGGCCAGTGGCATTTTGCCACTCATGTTGTACGGGTTTACATGTATCGATAAAACCAGGTTTGTCTATTAAACATATTTCAAGAGAAGCTCGTGAAAATCAACTGTCTCAATTTTTTGACAATAGAAACAAAGATTTCTATAAAAGAGGCATAATGATGTTACCTTAAGATTGGCAACAAGTTATTGAACAAAACATCGCATAATTGATCTAAATCGGATCATTCTAACTATGGTAGTTTAAACCTTTAATTTATTGCAAAAATAATGGATTTCTTTTTACTTTACCTAATATTTTGAATAGTTGATCGTATCATATTCATCAGTTCTATTTACAATTACCGCGAGGTTAAATAAAATGCAATTTGTCCGAATTTTCTGTATAAATCAGCTATAAGCACTCATATAACTCTTACACTATAATTATTCTGTTCATTAATTCACTTTCTCTGAGGAATATTTCTAATTGATGCTTTTAATAAGCAAATTTTAAATGAAATTATTTTAGAAAAAATATAGTTCATATTATTTGTTATACATTTACATGAAAGAACCACGTGTATTTGCTTCTTCCGTGCACTACCTACCTGATGTGCTAACAAGCGCCCATGCTTGTATAACAAATTAGCGATCGTCTAGAAAGTTCAAAATATTCAATATACTTTCAAATCTACAAAACTCATGTAGAAACACATTAATATTTTTGTGTAAATTCTAGATATGAATACTTTTTCATGCGTTTAATATTATATATCATCATATAATATATGTCTCCTTAAATGATATATCTCCATAAATATATAATATAAAGAAAATTATAGATATTTAGGTATATAATTATAGATTATATTGTAACCTAGTACTGATGATTACCATTACTTCATTTAGATTTCTGTTGATCTTGAATCTATTCAATCAAATTTTGAAACAACTGAATTTTTTACTCAATTGCAATAAAAATAAGAAGCAAAAAAGTCCCAAATTCATCATTTGTGTTAATTCAGAAAAACTTTAATAACTGTCTTTCTGTATTTTCGTCTTTATATGTCGCAAAATAAAAAATATTGCGAAGATAATTAGATTGATTCGGCATAATGTTAGTATTAAATGCTCAAGAAAAATAATAAATAAATCAAATAACTATCAAGTTTTTAAACATCATAGCGATTCTGCATTTTATATTCTTATTATAATACTAAATGTAATATATTTTATGATAAATATTAAATTATTTTCAGTTAGTCTTTAGTTAAAATACTACTACGTACTGATTCAACATCTGATTTCCAGTTTCTGAGTGATACCTTTTCTACCTCTCAATATCCTCTAATTCAATTGCAAAATTTTGAAAATTCTTACCAGATAATTATAATTATCTACATGAATACTATAGTATTTATATCAGATGATAAATGCTCTCTGACTAGTTTTCTTGTTATTAAAAGACTTGCAACCTTACAAGATTATGTTTTAATTGAAAGATCCCAAAGCTGGAGATATAAAATATTAGATTAAAGAAATTGCAAACTAAATTGCACTAGTAATTGTTAGGAAAAATAAAAAAATTTGTCGGTTCAATGTTCTAAATAATAAAGAATTTAGTTAGTTATTAGTGAAAAAAGATAATGAAATGATTTGCCCGCAGCATGAGAAAGAAAAGATTAGATAGAGATTTAATCTCTATACTAGTAAAAAAAAATTACCAAAAATAGAAAGTCATATATAAAGTCAGGAAATATTTGAAAAGAATGCCAAAATTGCTTTCTTCAAAGTGCTAATTGTAGAGAATTTTATGCTTGATTAAATTTTATATTTTTATACTTATAACTTAGCTAGTAAATTTAATATATATATATTTCTTCTGACTATTATAGTCTATTCAATCGAATGCTCTTTCATTGGGCTCTGACAAAGCATGTCTCAATTCCATTGTTTGCTGACGATTGAATCTGGAAGACATGGATATCAGTTTATTTGGAATGCAGAACGCGTAGTAGATACTTGGCTCGTCCGGTGCCGGTGGCAGTATTCTTCTTCGCGATACCAAAATCGCATTCAAAAAACATAAAATTTTTATTTTTTCTATTTTTATATGAGAAAAACATCGTAACCGATATAAGAAAAATATTTTGAAACGGATAAGTGAATATATGAAAGTACAACGAAGCATATCATAATCATCAAACAGTAATTTATATTTATAATATAAAAATGCATCGCAAAATGTGTTGGTAAGCGCGCGCGTTACTTAAGAACCATGCTTGGATTCCAACAAACATTTTAGAAAAAGAATTGACCAAATTGGTCCAACCATTATTGAGTTATGCGCATAACTCAATAATGCCTGGACCAATTTGCCAATTCTTTTTTTAAAATGTTTGTTGGAATCCAAGGATGGTTCTTACGGCGAGAAAAAATCGAATAATCGCCGCGGAAAACTCTAGAAACAGCCCTTTTCCTTTTCACATACAAACGTTAGTATTTTCATATTTTTGCCATCGGATACGGAATATTTACTCAAGTCAATGGAGCGTTTTGGGTCTGAATTTTTTTACTGTGCTCCAATTCGTATGAAATTTTGAAATTAGGTTTA